TAACATATTAATTTAAAAAAACTCAAATATGCTATCAAATTTTGAGAAAAAGCTTATTTATGTCATCTATTAAGAGTTTAGCTTATCTATGTCATTTTCGTTTGAGAAACATCTCATCTATGCCATTATTTGTCAATTGAAATAACATAGATGAGCCAAACATTGAACGGATGACATATATGAACATTTTCTCAAAGTTTGATGACATATTTGAGGCTTTTCCCTTTAAAAAAATAATTTAACTAATGACGTGGCTAAATCGTAATTGACCACGTGCAAAAAATGATTTTTCATAATTGACCGTGTGTAAAAAATAGTTTTGTAAAATGGAATTGGTTTAAGTTAACAAATAATGTCATAAATGAGCTTTTTCTCAAACGAAAATGACAGATATGAGCCAAACTTTTAACAGATGACATGAATGAGTCTTTTTCAAAATTTAATGATATATTTAAACCTTTTTTCTGTTAACAATAATAATTAATATAATATCTAATATTGAATTTTAAATATTTATATTAAAAATATACTAATACTTATTAACATGGATAATAAACTAGATGCGTAAAATCAAATGATGAAGGGAGAAATGAAATTACGAAATTCAACTTGAAAAATATATCCCCAAACTCAGGGGAAAAATATTTTTCTTATTGTTACAATTATTTATTACTTAACATATTTTAAAATTTTAGAATTTGTTTCCTTTGACTTCCTTGTTTCCCCATTGCCTTTTCAAGAGTTACATGAAAGTCTTTAAAAGGTACCATCTCCATCCTGTAATAAATTTTAAAAAAATAAATCAATATTGCTATTTGTTCATTTTAAATTCAAAATAACTTCTTCTTTTTTAGTAAAATTATATATATAAATTTAAAATAAATTTATAAAAAATTACAAAATTAATTGTTCGAGAGAGTAAGAAATTGTACTCATATTGCAATATCCCAGCACGAACGAGGGCCAATAGATGATCAATCGAACACCTATATTGTGCTTCATCTAAATTCTTTTCTTGTAACAGGTATCCTTTCAATGAAATATCCTTTTAAAAAAGAAGATAATTCAATATATAACAACATATTCAGTGATCTACAAATGGTCAAGTTTGTAATAAATAAAGTGTACGTAGATATTATTTTCGATATACTCATAGCCGTTCAATATATGATCCAAAGAATTACTTAGTGTTTAAATTTCATAATTGATCATTTGAAAACTAACCTTGAATATAAAATATGGAGTAGATATGGTAATTGGCTTCTTTGACATCCCTCCATATGTAACCATAGTACCACCTTGCCTTAAAAATAATAAAAAAATATTGTATATCTTCAATATTTAACCAAAAAAAAAACAAGTAAAAACTTTAACTTTGAAGAAAACAATATTTTAAAAAATAAAAAAAGTTTCTCACTTTAAGAATTTTACCACCATATTAGCTGCATTTCCACCAATACAATTCAAACCTAAACTAGGTTTAGGTATATCACCCTACAACACATCATCGATCGTTACAACATATTAAAAAAATAAAAAATACACTCGTTGATTATTTAAAAAATAATCATATTGTTCGTATATAAAAGTTAAATTCATACCAGGAGGACACCTTTGACTTCGAGTTCACTTTCAGTAAATACTTTATTAGCGCCAAGTTTAATTAATTTTTCTTTAATTTTATCAGATTCAGGTTTATCTCTTATGATATTAATGCTATGAATTCCACGAATTCGAGCTAATTGAATAACACATTGCCCTACTATGCTTGTAGCTCCATTTTGAACAATTGTGTCCCCTGTTTAATCGAAAAAAGCTAATTAATTTTTAAATCAAATTAAAATAATTAAACATGTTTTTAATTAGGAAATTTAAATAATAAACCTGATTTTAAAGCCACAAAGTCCTCAAGCATTCTCAAGGCACTCAAAGGATTAACAGAAATAGTGGCAGCATATTCAATTGGAGTATTTTTGTCTATTTTGTACCATAAACTTTGATCTTCTACCACATAGGTTTGCCATGTCCCTGGAACACAAAAGACATAAAACTACGAGTTTAAAATTTGAATTTTACGATTTTTTTTTATTTTGTAAATGCGCTTTTGGGAAGGAAAATCATAATTTTTTATGTGTCTAGCGCTTTCATCAATATGAAAGAGGAAGCTTTTGCGTTGTACCTGTATAACTAGGGTCACTACATCAAAAATGATCTTTAACAACAATTAATTAATGATAATAACTTAATTGCCACTAAATATGTATTTTTAGCGGCGCCTAAACCCTCTTTGTAAAATGTCCCTTAAAGCCTATAACGACATTTGGTCTAATGACAATTAACTAATGTCAGTAACAGTTGTAACACTCTTTGTTAACGTGCATATTTATTTCTGTTAAAAGTTATTTTTATTGTAGTAAGGTTGGGAGACGTTAAATAATGTGATTTACTTTCTTTTTTGGTCAGTCCCAAAAAGAATGACACATTTCTATAATAAGTAACAATTTGACTACCCTTAATAAAATGATTTACAGCCACACAAATTTCTATCATTCATTTGAGACCACAAGTTTTAAAAGTCTTCCTTTTTTTCTTAAACTCCGTGCCGAGTCAAACTACCTCACATAAAATGGAACGGGGGAGTATATGATTTGAACTAAAGTTGTTGAGAATACTGACTAAACTTGTAACTTAAATCCTATTTCATGATAATTTGATACGTAATTATCAAATATAGCTATAGTTTGAATAATTACCTGAAAGATAAGCTGCATGAATAACCAAATCTCCTGGAGAAAGAGCCATAACAGCAGAGCCCACAGAATGTATTTCTCCAACACCTTCCCATCCCCCAATTGCAGGTATTGGTGGTAGTACTGGATACACTCCTGATATGCAATTATTAGTAAAATTAAGGACTCTATCATAAAAATTATTCACTTTTTTATTAACTTCTTTTTCTCAATTCTGAAAGTTATATATTTAACTTGAAATTGTATTTTAAATTTGGAAAACGGCCTATAATATGTTTTTTAAACTCATTTTTCACTTTTCATGTTATATCTATGTACACTCAACCTTGAAGATTATTCGAATATTCTGTTAAAAAAAAATATAACCAATCACAACTTCATGAATCCCCCCCCACCCCCACAACCAAAATGATAGCTAGTTTATGCACACCTTAACTAATTTTATAAAATGCCTAACATATTTTACTAACAATAGATAACAGATAACCCTGTTCAACAAGACTAATCTCATGAAATGTCTGACATATTCTACTAACAATAGTTTTTTAAACTCATTTTTCACTTTTTATGTACATTCAACCTTATTCTTTAGAAAAAAATATAACCAAGCACAACTTCATATAGTGTAATTTTCCTTCGACATATTCTACTAGCAATAGTTTTTTAAACTCATTTTTCACTTTTTATGTACATTCAATCTTATTCTTTAGAAAAAAATATAACCAAGCACAACTTCATATAGTGTAATTTTCCTTCGAAGAAATCACAAAGTATTTTTTCCTTTATTGAAATTAATTAAACCTACAACCTAGTAATTACTATATCAACTATTAGATTGAAAAATATTCTTTTTTCATTCTATTTTTTTTGTAACACTGATATTATTTATATATATAAAGGAGAAAAAGAGAATTTAATGGAATTAACCCTCTATTCTGTTGATATCGGCGGGATTGATGGGAGCTGCAAGCATTTTCACGCACACCTCGTTCTCATTCATCTCCACCGGTGGAATCTTCGTAACCCTGTTGGAATTAGAATTTTCACTAACGTAATTTAAAATATAAAAAAAAACATTTACTATGTATTTAACGGTATATATATGGTATAATTTTTTACTACGTAGGGGTGGTGGTAGGAGGACATTGTGAATCTAGAACGGACCTTGTGACGGTGTCGGGAGGGCCGTGTTGGTCGTAGACAACAGCGGTGGATGGCGGAGACATGGTGGCCGGGAAGTTTACGACGGAGGTTTGTGTAGGGATGACCAAATATGAGTGACGAGAAAACATTATCCTACAAAATTTGAGGTATTGTATTAAAGTGTTTAAGTTTTCACTTGGAAACATTTGGGGAAAATGCAGCTACTTATAATGTAAAATGATAATAATCCTTAGGCTCAATGGAAATATTATTTTATACAATAACACGTGATATATATTACGTAAATAATTTGATATATATCCATGTGCTATTTAAATATTATTTTATTTAATTGTATGTGTCAAATAACTAATAATATAAGAAAAGTTATAGCCAACGAATTTGTATTTTTAAATTCAAATTTATCCTATTTTTATATTTTTATAAAATAGTTTTATTTAAATTTATTTTATGTTTGAATCATATTTCATATTACTTTAACACAAAGTATTCAAGTTATAACTATTTATTGCAAAAAAGTATGATCAAACATAACTCCATATTCAATTTCAATTATTTTTTAAAATAAAATTTTAAAAAAATCAAACATAATACATGATAGTGCTCATTGGTTGGTGGGAAACCTAATCTTCACATTAACTATGGCTCAAATGATATGTGGGGCTTGTTTTTTTTTATACGTTTTTTTAAATATAAAAATCATTAATTAGAAGATGTCTTTGTAGTTTTAAATAATAATTAATTATCTTAAACCTTTAAAATGATTAATAGTTTAAGATATTTATTTTTTAAAATTAGGATAATTAATTTGAGATAAAAGAGAGAGTGAGAGAATAATATTTAAACGTGGTAGGTGGGAATACCCAATCCCCTCCCAAACAGTAAAAAAATGTATTTTTTGTATAATAAACAAGTAAAAATGAACAATAACATATTTTGTGCGAAATTTTCACATACTTGAATCTGAACATTAACATAGTTTAATTTTTGACAACGTAGGGGTGGTGGTAGATGGACATTGTGAATCTAGAATGGACCTTGTGACGGTGTCGGGTGGGCCGTGTTGATCGTAGACAACGGCAGTGGATGGCGGAGACATGGTGGTTGGGAAGTTTACGACTGAGGTTCGTTTAGGGACGACCAAATTTGAGTGACGAGAAAACATTATCCTACAAAATTTGATGTATTGTATTAAAGTGTTTTTAAGTTTTCACTTGGAAATATTTGGGGAAAATGCAACTACTTATAATTAAAAATGATAATAATAGTAATAATACGGAAAATGATTTAAAATATCTCATAATTATGTGATTTGATACAAAATTATCCTTTATCTATTTATTCAGATATAAAATGCTTTCGACGTCAATCTTTAGGCTCTTTTTTATCCTTATCTTTAACGATCTAATTAAATAATAACCTCAATTAACAAATTCATTACAATCTTGTTGATCACCCTAACAATTAATTGAGTTAATTAAAAATATCACAAAACATCCACCTACTCCAAAAAAGATTTACTATGACGTTGTGGGGCTCAAATTGTCTTGTACTATCAAGAAAACTTGTACAGGATCCACTAACTTTTAGACATTGTGGTGCTCAAATTGTCATTTAAAGCATTCAATGAAACGAGAGAATGTAAAGTTTGTGTGGAAATTGAAAGAAAAAATTATATATTATAAGATAAAATAATATTATTTGTATACACTCTAGTCTCTTCAAACTCGCGTTATTTGTAAAAATGGTTTTATATTATAAGATAAAATAAGATTGTGTATATTCTATTTTTGTTAAATTCGAGTTACTTTTAAAATTATATATTTTATATATGCACTGAGAAAAAGACTTAAAAGTGTAATAAAGTGAATTTTTTAGAAGAATCCTATGATATAACGAGCATATTATTAGAGTATTTCTTTTATCTTAACTTGTTAGGTGATTTTTTTGTTTATCAAAGTAGCTGTTTAATTTTGAGGTGACGGGAATCCAATACCCTCCATTTTTTTGTTTACCAAAGTCCTCAATTGACACTACACTTGTTTTTCTTGAGACCTCAATGCACATGTAACATGTTTTTTTTTATTATTAGTTTTTGGTATCACATTGAAATTCGATTAAGTTCAGATTCACGTCGAAAAGTTTCATATTGAAAGGTAACTTAAATTCGAGATCTTTGATTAAAAATAAAAAAATATTTATCACTCCACCAGAATTTTGATTGATGCACGTGTTATCTAAGGTTTTCAAGTTTTTTTTTAAATAAGGGGTCAGTTGAGTTGTACTATTCACTACAAGAAAGTGAAGATACAACGACATTTGAGTGCAGAGAATTATCCACCATTTAAAAAAATGTCGATAATTAATAAGCGACATTTATTTACGATAAATATAAAAATGTTATTTAATGATTTTATAGATAAAAAAATATTATCGGATTATCAGTTCGATTATGATTTTTTTTTAGTTTTGGATTATTGAGTAAACCGATAACCCGGTAAGAATGTAGTCATTTCCTCATTTAACTCTACATAAATATAGTAAATATTTATTTCAGTATATATTTTTTAATGGTTACTACCTTTAATTTGTCCTTTAGCCTTGGATTCACATTATTGTCCTAGTTCTTTTATTTGTATTGCACTTGTGTATGTAGTTCTTTTCATTTTAATGGTAGTTAATATTGTTTCTATTTTAAGTATGACCATTATGTAAAGTTACATTGTTATCTTGTCGCGCCAAATTATTTGAGAAGCCGTATATTTATTTTATGAGCATTTTCTTATTGGTTAAACCGAATCGTTAAAAGATCAAAAATTGATAAACTGAAAATCATCTTTTTTTCTATATAAAGGGGAAGAGTGAAGTGCCACTATAAATCTTAGCTTCTTCACTTGTTTGCTTAATCTCTCTTTTGCTATTTCACCACATCTGACATTTCAAAAAGAAAACATGGAAGTTGAAATCATATCCACAAAATTCATAAAACCATCTTCACCTACTCCAAATCATCTCCAAAATTACAAGTTAGGTTTCTTTGATCAAACAACTGATGAGACACATTTACCTCTTGTTCTTTTTTATCCTCCTACCAACAACATTAATTTTTCAGCTCATGAAGAACAACTTGAGCAATCCTTATCTAGGATTTTAACTCATGTTTACCCTATTTCTGGCAGATTTACGGAGGATAACTCGATATCCTGCAAGGACCAAGGGGTTAAATTTATAAAAGCAAAAGTGAATAGTAAACTCAATGAATTTCTTGAGAAAGCACATAAGGATGTCAACCTTTCATTGCTCTGTTGGCCTCAAGATTCATGGAATGTAGATGCATCCAACTTATACGCCATGCCAATTGTCATTATCCAAATTACAGAATTCGAGTGTGGTGGCTTGGCTCTATCCTTGAGCCTCGTGCACATTGCAATGGATGGTTACTCAATTTTTACTGTTATCAACGAGTGGTCCAAAGTGTGTAGACTTGAGATTCCTGTAGAGAAGATCGATTTCATGAGCTTTAATTTGGCTGATGTTTTCCCAACCAGAGATTTATCGAAGCTTCTCTTGCCTCGTGTTCCTCCATTAGATCGTGTGGAGTCTAAATTAGTAGCCAAAAGGCTATACATCAACGAAGATTCCATTTCAAGGCTAAGAAAAGAAGTCGGTGGAGACTTATGCTTTAAGCCGTCAAGAGTTGAAATGATCATGGCCCTCCTATGGAGGGCTTTAATCCGTGCTTCAGAAAAAAAGCACGGATATCTAAGACGTTCTCTAATGAACATCCCAATAAACTTGCGCACTAGGTTGATTTCTTTACCTCAAGTAGAAAAATCTTTCGGGAATCTTGGAGTTGACGCCCCTATAAAATTCATACCTGGGGAGAACAAGATGGATTTGCACGAATTCGTGACATTAATTCATGACACTGTGAAGGAAACTATTATTACTTGTGACAAGACTTCACCGGAGGACATAGTGTTCGCGGTGTCAAATATATATAATGAAAGTTTTCTAGCACAAGATTGGGGAGGAAGTGATGAAGTTGATAGGTACGTAAGTTCAAGTTTGTGTAAATTTCCTATACAAGAAGCTGATTTTGGTTGGGGAAAGCCATGTTTGATGCATTTTGGGTCAAGACATGGTCAAGTTTGCTGGTTGTATGATGCAGAATGTGGCAATGGGATTTGTGTGCAAGTGGATTTGAAGGAAGATAATATGCATCTATTTGAATGTGACAATGATATCAAGGATTTCTTTCAGTTTTAGAGTTTAGGTCTCTAAGATTTGGCAATTTTTATTTACTTTATTGTTGTCGTCGTCGTCGTCATTTTGGATTTGGTAATATAATAAAGTTGCATTTGTTATCTTGTTACAACTTAATTTGTTGGAGGGAGGGTATTTTTATTAGTTAATTTTGATTATTAATATTTTGTCAGAATATAAAATATTATTTAGTTTTATTAAACAATCATTTTTCGTTAAATTACATTTTTTTTTATATATGTATCATTAATTACATTTATTTTAGCGCAGTCTATTAATTCACTGAATCACAGATATTTAATTAGCCCATGATTTTGAACCAGTAGTTTCGTAGAATGAGTGATTTTAAATTTTCAAGGGTGATGGATAATTTTTTAAATTAAGGTTGAATAATTTTCAGATTTTTTATTTAACAAACGGTTTCACTATTCATCTTCTTCTCCGGCGAATAGCTCGCCGGAGCTCCGATGAGCCACCCACCTCCTCTTAAATCTAGACAGAACAGCCCCTTTAGGAACATCAATCACAACATTGCTGGAATTGAACAACCACACAATCCCCTTTTTCATTGAATTAAATGATGCATCAGGATATATGCGGAATATAATAAAATATTACAATTTAGTCTTTCACACTACACCGGTTGAGGGTTGGCGTGAAAAAATAAAATTTTAAAGTTGAAAATATTTTTTAAAAACAAACTCATTTGGGGGGGGGGGCGGGGGGAGGGGGGTCGAGGATAGGGATGAAAAAATAAATATATGAAGTTGAAAATATTTTTTTAAAACAAACTTAATTTTTTCCTTTTTGAAGGGGGTGGGGGGGTGAGGGTAGGGGGTAAAAAAATAAAAAATTGAAATTAAAAATATCATTTAAAAATAACTTTTAATATTTTTTTGGGAGGGGATGGGGGTAGGCGTGAGGGTGGGGTAAAACAATTGAATTTAAAAACAAGCTTTAATTTTTATTTTTATTTTTTTTGGGGGGGGGGGGGGTGGTTGGGGGCTGGTTTGATGGTATGGACAAAATAAATTGTTTTTTTAAACAAAAAATAATTGTAATTTGAAGTTGGAAGAGAGTTTTGGAAAATGTTTTCCTTAAGTTTTGAAGGGAAGTCATTTTCCTTAAATTTGAGGAAAATGAGTTGATTTGGAAAATATTTAACCCAACCAAACATGAAAAAATTGAAAAACATTTTCCGAAAAATGTTTTCCTTCGTACCAAACACACCCTAAAAGGCAAATAAATAGTACTCTAACATATTAGATTCAACATGTATTCAACTAATAGTAGATAGCAACAAAATAATACAATAATCAAAGTACAAGAAATAAAAACACATATAACTATTAACAAAAAAGAACAAGAGAATACTAATATAAATGGACATAAAAACACCGCAATGCTATCTAGCTACTAATATTTTGCCCTAAACAAAAAATATTATAATTATTGAATTGTGTGATCGACTCGTGTAAAAGAAAATTAGTATATTATTTATATTTACTTAATTACGTTTTCATCATATTTTATCTAAAATAAACTACAAAAAAAATATTTTACTTAATTATGTGTTCCAACTTCATTTGGGTAGACTATAAAAAAATAACATAAACTAATTGAATCGTACGAATACCGAAGAGAAATCGATACGATTGGGATGATTTTAAATAATTTAATTTTTGGTATATATTATAAATATCCAAAAAAATTGAAACGGTATAATTTTAAAAAAATAACCGATTAAACCGTACCATTAACACCCCTATCTAAATTTAATCGAGATTCAATTAGTTACCGGATACCAAATGGGAAAAAAAATATTCATTGTGGTCTCAATAAAACAGGTGTGGTCACTTTAAAGTTGTCAAGTTTCTTTTAAGGACAAACAAGAGTAGAAAATTTTCCTTTCTTTTATTTCTCAAATTAGAAGCACTTTTTGATTTCATTATGGGTGAAAGGAAAAAACAAAAGACTCCATTACTCACTTCTCTCTCTAAATTTTTTTACCCAAATTATATCCTTTCTTTTTCTCTCTCATGATTTCTTCCATTCTTTCATATTCTCAAGTAACTTAAACCTTGCCTTTTTAAAATCAAATTCTTCTATATTTCTAAGAAATCTCATATATCATTCAAAATATTTTCAATATTTTTTTGAGAAAAAAAATATTTTCAACATTTGTCGAAGTGAAATTTGACTAATTTGCGATTGTTCCATTACGGAAGAAAATTTTGAAATAATTGATTGGAAATTTCGAAGTGAATTCGATTGATTTTGTTGAACTTTGAAATTATCGGTGAAATACAAAAATGATCAACGATCAGGTATTCATTAACTGTTGATTCTTTAAATTGTTTGGAAGTGATTCGAAAATGGATCTGGATCGTATTTTGTATGTTGGATCTTCACCTGAAGATCTTCATAAGTTACTATCTGAATATTGGGTTCAAAAGTTAGACGGTCACTGAGGTATTCAATTTGGGAGTTTCAGGTCATATCCCATCCAAGACACTTTGTTGGACGACATCAATAATTCTAGTTATTTCTTCAATGAATTGAAGTATTTTGCATCTCTCTCACATGCAGAAGGACCCAAAGGAGATGAAAGTACAGAATCACCAACCATATTTTAAAGTAAAAATATAGATTTTTTAATCTTTAATATGTTTGGGATACAGATAGTGAATGATTGAATTGTTTTGATTTTGTTTGTATGTTTAGATGCATGGAATATAAAATAATTTGGAATCTTATTTAGTAGATGTTCAATAAATTAGGATTTGAAGACTTCAGGTGCACCAAATATGATCGCTGAGCAAAACTTAAAATAAACATAATGAATTAGCACTTTAGCTTGATTCAAACCCTAGTCTCACGGGTGGTTCCTGTGCCTTATACCAACAGCACAAGAACACTCATATGTTTTGAATGGGTGCACTATTAATTATATCTTAATTTTTATCAGTTTCTTAAGATAGATATACATATATACACATGATTTTTTCCGAAGTTAACGGATGCACGTGCACCCCTACTTAATAAGGTAGGTTCGCCTCTGGATACATTGTCTTGTTGTTTGTTTATATTAATATTAATAGTTGTATATAATATTGCTCCTGCAGTTTCTAATTTTTTTTATTACTATCTGTTGTTTCTTGTACCTCGATTATTGTATTATTTTGTTGTAGTTTCCATTCTGTTACTATCTAATAATTTATATTTTATATGTTATTTCTTGTACTTCCACTTTGTTAGATTATTATTTTTTTGCCAAATGTCTATCTAATACAACTTCTTTACTTTTGAAGTAGGATATATAAGATTCGTGTACGATCTATTCTCGCTAAACTCAAGTTTATGAACTAGAAACTACAATAAATATGTTATATTATAGTAATCAATAGGAGATTTATTATTGAAAAACTATCTTTCCTCGTATGTATATTCTTTTCTACATTAATTTTGACAAGTTCTTCTTCATTGACATTCATGAACTTGAGGTCATGATTAATGATCTTAGTTATCACAATAAAATGGACATTAATAACTTGTTGGATAGATGAAAATGATACATGTTCAGAAGTCCAGAGCTTAGAAGAAATTATGGATATCATTGAAAAGTTATTGTTGATGATAAAGTTGAAGATGATACAAGACATTTAGAACCAATCACGCGTAAGGAAAACATTTATCACATTTAGAACTCTTCACAATTTACGATGCAGTTCGAAAAGACAACACCGCGAATGAAAAGTTAGGGATGAGCTTCAACGAGATTAAATTTTAACGGTGGAATCATATTTTACTAAATTGTTTTAGATATATTTGTACTTTTAAAGAATTATTAATTTATAATATTAATGGGACCATATATTTATATATGAGTCTTCTGAAAATATATTTTATAAAAATGGGTAATTTTTTTCATTGGCCCAAGTCGAGATTGGAAGAAAATATTATCTTAAAGAAGTTATTAATTAACCAAGTATTAATTTAGTAAGATTTTATTGTATAATATTAATTAAGTGTTTCAATATTTTCCAACATTAACACCTTGTTTGGATGGTTGTTACCTGTTGTATTGTATTGTATCGTTAGTTTAAATACAATGTTTGTTTTGATTGTTACTTAAATTCTATTGTATCGTATTGTTGGCTAACAACGAAAAGACTCATTTTATGTAACAACCGATTAGGTGTGATCGCATCGTTACCTTAATATTTTCTTCTTATTTGATCTTTATTTATTATTTAATAATCATATTTCATCTTTTATACTACCATTTCATCATAGTTCTACTCCGTACCCTACTTTTCTTATAGATTTATCACTTAATTTATGAATGTATGACATTATATAGCGACAAAAAAGGATATAATATATCTAAACATTATATCCATTAAAACAATACAGTACGATACAATACAACACAATATAATACAATATAAAGCAATATGTAACAACCATTCAAACAAAATGTGAGTAGGTTGAGTCGTCCTAATAGATGAATTGACCTAATAAATGCGTCTATTTTTCTTTGAGTTAATGTTTCGCACGTACATGTCCTTACGTATGGCCCATTGAGGTCCCAATTTATTCCCATCATCACCTGAAGACAACACTTTCAAATTAAATTCACGTGTTATTTGGTTCTTGTATCTAACGTTATCAAGTTTTTTCTAAATTCACGTGTTAGTTGAGTTAAATTATTGTACTGACGTTTTCAATGTCTACCCAAATAAAGTGTTAGAATACCTAATTAATAAGTAAAAAATATTATTTTATAGTTTATTTTATATAAAACATTATGTGAGACGATCATACACTTGGTAAGTAAACGCACACACTAGTTAAATGGGGTTCCATATCTACTGTATATACCTAAAAGATAATTCTAACCATATATAAATAATAATACTTTCCATCGAAAGGGGTTCGTAACCCCTGACAATATGCTGGCTCCGCCCTGCTTGGTTGCATTATTGAAAATATATCTTCCCCAATATATGCTTTTCAACATTATTTTTCACATGTTCTTTTTCTTCATTATCTTTTTGAAGATCCAGTTCAGCTTAAGGTGTAATATTTTGAAATTTAGCAATAACTTTTATTTGTCACTATTTG